GATCGGCTTCCGGGACATATTCTCATCGGAATAGCTCGAGAGGTTCCCGCTCTATCATTTTCATTTAAATATTTAGAAGGAGGTGAAAAAGAGAAATTGTTGGAGTGTGGTCATTTTTGGACGCTAATTTTTCCTAATTTTATTCGCAGAAATAGTATGGAGAGCCATCATAGCGGTAAAAACGTTTTAGAATAAGTAACGTAACACACCAGCAAAAGCGTTTACTAATTCACAACGTATTTTTTTTCCAGCGATAGAGCTGAGCGAAGTATAAATAGCTGTTGCAGGTAGTGAAGGTCGACACACTGGAAGAATGCTTGAACATGTGTCTGGTTGCTAGAAAAAGAATGCAGATTGACTGCAGGTAAAGGTTAAACAGGCCGCGTTTATTCTCCACTGCTTATACTTTCGTTTTACTTCATTGGATCAGTGAACTACTGATAAATACAACTTATGTAAAGGCATTTTACAGGTCAGTGATGTACTATTACGACACTGCTGAGTGCATCCTGAATGCTGAAAATCAGGCAACAAATAAATCGTTAATAACCAATGACACGTTGAACATGCGTGTGGATTATTTTGAGAATAACTGCTTAGATGGTTCGTGTTTAGTAGTGAGAAAAATCACAATTTTATTTGAGATCCGAGTTGTTTGTTTTTAATTTTTACCTCATTCCCTTCATCTGATCAAAATTCATAGCGGCAACTTACAAATCAGGATCGCAAATGCAATGGCATTAACAACCACCTAGTCGCGTTGCTTCAGATAACCCCTTCTTTCGTAAGCTAGAACTAAAAATGGTCTTGATTTCCTGGCGTGCATCAGTACCATTTTAGCAATGAAATAAATCGTAGATGGGTCGATTTTTGTGCGTTTTTGCTGTACAGCGCTATAACGCTGTTACAGCGAGCAAAAACGCATATTGTCAAGAGGTCGTCTATACGTGTGTGTTCGGTAGCGAATGGATTTTGTCACCCACTTTCATCTCAGCAACCAGGAAAGCTGGAAAGCTAAAATTTTGGGTTTGTGTTCCCATTCCATATGTCATCCACCCTTTTTAAAATCTTCGCTCATACGCGACCAGACCTCGCATACATTCCATATGTCATCCACCCGTTTTAAAATCTTCGCTCATACGTGACCAGACCCCGAAAAATATATGCGTGAGACGATTTCGCGAACCAGGCAAAGCACAAAACTGAAACTTCGCAGGGGTATTCTGTACATGTGCGAGCTAAAGATTTAAAATTCAGATGTCGCGCCTACTTGTACAGCGGGTACGATCACGACAAAGTTTGCAAATTGGTACTGCGCTAACTCGAAAACTTGCTGGAAAACAGTGGCTGAAATTTTGTCAACATGTTTGTCTTCCATGTGGGAAATCGAATACCACTTGCGTCACGGCTTGGGGCACTTCAAAGATAATTATGGCGAAGTGGCAATTTCGTTTACCGGACAAGATGCGAGACTGAAAATTCGCTGGAACACTCTACTACCAAATACGGTCTTAATTCTGCTTGGAAGTGACATTCCCTGCAGGTGGGCGTGAGAAATACTCAACTTTACCGAAAAATCAGAAACGAGTGCGTTTTGCAGCGAACTACCGCCTTCATCCTCTCCCAACATCCAGTTCATTTACATATATGGATTTTTTGACGAACGACCGCTGTAGCAACATTTCCACTTTTTAGTGAAAAACTGGAACTGGATGTTAGGAGAAGATGAGGGCGATCGTTTACTACAAAATGCATTCGCTTCTGAGTGAAACCTGCGTAAAAAGCTAAAACACATGCTCGCACCGGCTAACCTAGTGCATTCCAGCCTGAGTTCCGGTACTACAAGTCGAACTACTAATTTCAGCCTGGTAATAATGTTACATTCCACCATATAGTAGGGCGACAAGTTTAATTTTCAACACTTCACAATGTTGCTAGGTGATGTCCCAGACTGTGCTGAATACAAGCCAAATTTCCTTTTATCGCAATTCAAGAAGGCGCAGTCAATTTTTCTTTTCATCTTTTGATGAAACCTAATTAAAAAGTGTCTTAAATGAGTTGCGAGAGTCTCAAGATTAACAGCAGATCCTTGCTTCCGTCAAAAAAAAAGATTCGAACTCTTTTCTCAGAAATAATTATCAGGTGCAGGCTTTCTGTTTCGTACAAGGAAATAAAGACATGCTTTTTTTTGTAACAAATGCACATTGTTAAAAATGCTTTATTTTGCAGTGAATTGCTCAAATGATTCGACGACACACTGGATAAAGGTTGAACGATTTGTAATAAGCAACAAACACGATGTTTTCATAGAACAAGTAACCAGGGATCAATGCATCAGCTTCTGTATTGTACGATCATTTTCATCTACATCTTTATGAGCCTCAGAAATTTCTTTTTTTTTTCTTTTTTTCTGCAGCTTAAGAATTTTTATGCGTTTTTTGCAGTGCAACAGCTACACAAAACGCATATTGTCACGCGATTGTCTGGGTGTGTGTTTGTGTGCAATGTGTGTCCGCAGCAGCTTGTTCGCAGCTTTCAACTCGGGAACCACAAAAGCGAGGAAGCTAAAAATTTAAAGGTATGTTCATCGCCTGCGTGTGACTCTGCAAGTTTAAATTCCGCCTCCCCGTGCTTGCGAATAATACGTGCGGCCCCGTAAAAGTTTTGGCGAGTAAAATTGCTGTCGCAGGAACCACGGAAACTAGGAAG